GGCATGATACGATGCAATCATGGACTGTCTGGACCTTGAACCCCAAACTACTTTCGTGTTGGTGTTTTCGACCACCACGCCGTGCTTTTGTTGGCACTATGCCGTTTGTGCTTCGTCGCATTCATCAATTGGCGCCTTGGTCCTGGCGTTGATCTTGGCGTTGTTCGTAAATGGGGATATTTTGTTGCAGTCTCCAACAGGTGTTTTATTTTTTCGTCTTGTTTGCACATTCTATTCACTTGCCGTTTCGGGAGGGTTTCTATTCACTTGCCGTTGTCAAAGCAATTTTTGCTTTGCCTTTCTTCTCAGAGATCTTTGGTGGTCTTTCTACTAAGAGATTGTGCTGCAGGGCCTGCGACCTCTTTCGTCAAAGAGCCATCTCACAGCTATTTCCATACGAGATAATGGTGCTAATATTATTAATTATATTCATTAATAGTTTATCATGGTCACCTTACAATATTATTATTTAATGAGTATTTAGTGCAAATTGTACATTATTCCAACTTACAAAGTAGATAATAGCATCGATCCATTTCCATTTCGCGAGTGGAGAACGTGGAAGGCGTTGTTTCGCCGGCAACACACCAGAAGGCGCTGGCGAGCGCAGCCTCCATCTGGCGTCACGGGGTATTTGCGGCGCGTGAGCGCACCTTGCGGCGCCGGCGGCGGCGGCAAACGGAGAAAGCGACTTCTCGTTATGGCAATTGCCCGCCGCCACCGCCGCCGGGTCTCCTGCCCCGCCCCTCCCCTCACTCCCCGCCCCGTCCACGCGCGCTGCGCCCACGTCACCCGCGGCGCTCGGCCGCTCCACCGCGCTGTCACGTCACGCCATCCCTTCCCCGCCGGGTCCTGCCTTCCCCTCCCCTCCCCGCCTCATCCCGCTCCGCCCTGCTCTACCCTGCCCCGCTCCGTCCCGTCCAGCCCCGCCACTGCAAGCCACGCCACGCCACGCCACGCGCGGGCGAACAGCAGGATGCCGGTTACACGCACGCTTGGAGGAAACGTCGCTTATGGCCCTCTCTGGATCCACGTGCCTGACAGACCAGTGCTGGTGTAGCAATAGGTCAGTGGCAACAGCCGTCGCCGCTGCAGCGTCTCTGACGGGGACGCTCCAAAGGTTCGGACCCGACGGAGGCGGTGCTTTCCGATTGCAACCCGCGGTCAACTTTTCCTAAGCCTTATACCTATTCCTCCCTCCCCAAAAAGACGTAGCCCAACTCCATCCCATTCTGTTTTCCTCCTTTTACCTCCTCCACTTAGCCCGAGAACGGGAACGCCAGATACGTGCGCTTCACACTAAGCGCCTTAACGCCAACGGGAAGAGGAAAAGAGCTATGATCCTTTAAGCGGAAAAAAGGGGAACTTCGAAGATTGATTGATTTATTGTGAGTGATTCCGGGCAAGTCAACTACTGAGGTCATTAGTCCCGTAAGTGTAGTTCATGTGTTTTCATCGGGAGGTGGCGATGATCTTCCCCCACCAGATGCCGAGATCCCTCCCGACTAGTAGAGTTTTCTTCAACCACGTATCTCCCACCCGCTGGGCACCGACTCAAGCGGGACAAGTTCTAAGCTCCAGAACCGATCTCGTCTCCCAGCATGTGTGGTAGCGTAGTGCGTGTTAGTGTTAGTGTTAGTGTGTGTGTGTGTGTGTGTGTAAGTGGTGAGGTGAGGACAAGGAAGAGGAAGGAGAGATCGCGCGGGGTCCTTGACCCGTTTGTTAGAGCACTGCTCCGGCATTCGCCGGAGTGTTGATCGGAGAAACCACGGAAAACTACCGATCAGAGTAGCCGGCCGCTAGAATTCTCCCCCAGACAGCGAGTGAATTCGACCCAGCTGACAAGCTAGGGCCTCCTGGTCAGATAGGAACTTACAAAAATGGTTATTAAAATAAATGCACTTCTAGCTACGCTGCTCTGTCCTCTCTTTGATTTGTCATATGTCTGTTGTGTTTGCATGTACTGCTATGAATAATAAATTTTTGAACGAAAGGCCAGTAAATAGAAGACAAAATAATGAGAATGAAAAAATGCAAAATCTACTACGAACGTTCGGAGCTAACTATTTTTTTTCAAAAAACAAACAATTTCAACTTACTCTACCTAAATATATAAATTTTCGAGATAGTATTAGTTCTAAGTATTAATATGAAAAAAAGGATTACACTTAATTACTAAAAGTTACTGAAACTCAACAGTGACTGACAAAACCAGCCTCACACCGTAACTTCGCAAATCCACGCTCTAACATCAATTTAGCACTACACGAGAAAGTAAAAATACGACTAATCTATTTTTAACCCTACACCTCAAAGAGACGTTACAAGTGGCTAAAAGCAAGTGATGGTTAATGACTGTGTGATTTGAAGTGGAATGACTCTTATGAAGGCAGATAGATCGAATTTAGCCGCTGACTGAAGGAGAATTCTCGCGGCCGACTCTTTTGATCTATTACGTTGTTTGTCCGAATCGATACCAGGCGAATGACGAAGCAAAACCTTAACAAACGGGCTCCGACTCATTTTCCTTTCTCATCCTTATCCCTTCCTCTCTCCTTGAACAGAGGCAGAACGAGGGTGGGGGCAGGGGCAAGAGCCATGTCCCCCATACCTACAGTTTTCGTTTATTACCTTCTTTTATTTGTCTAAATTGATTTATATATTGATTCATATTAGAATTATTTAATTACTTAAAAAATAATATTGTATAGTATCATACATACACTTAAAAAAGAACATACAATACATAACAAACAAGTTTATTATTTAACAAAAATCTAGTAATCGGCTGGATCCGCCCTTCGCCTTACACACACATACACTTACACTTGCGTGCCCTACACTACCACACATAATCGGGAGACCAGTCTGGTGCTCTGAAGTGAATCCCGTCCGGGGTGGTGCGTTGCTAGGGGAGGTTCCTAAGGTGATACACAGCAAACCAACGTGTAGGTCAGCGCCGGATCTCACGATCCAGCGAGGGAGGCACACAGCCACCTCCCTCCTCGAATAACACGAAGTACACTCACGGAAATAATGAGCGACATAACTATCGCACCAGGAAACACGAAATGTTCACTCACCCCTACGGAGTAAGAAGATACTACGGCACGTTGTGGATGAAAGAAATCATCAGGAGAGAGGGCATCATCTAATGTCACTAACCGGGTGACCTCGAACCTAGGTCCGTGTCCTGAAGTGGCAAGTCGACATTAGCTAGATAGCTAGGACGCATTCAGCCACTGTCTGGAGGAAAATTCTAGTGCCCGGCTCGGTAGTTTACCGTGGTTTTCCAGATCAATAGCAGACGAATGACGAAGCAATACCCTAACAAACGGACCAAGGACCTCTCGCGATATTTCCTTCTTCTTCCTTGTGCTATCCTTACTCCTTACGTACGTGTATTACACAATCATATTCACGGGGGACCAGTCAGGAGCTTGTCCCGGCTAGGGCGGTACCTGGAGGTACCCTAGCGAACTGAGGGAGCCGAGAGGCCTTGAAATGACCCTGACCGCTCAGGCTTTCATTATCATTTTTTTAATTGTTCTTATTTTTTTTCTTTGATTTATCAGTTATATCTTTATTATAAGTTCATACATAGGGCCACTTTCAAATTTAATGTTTCCAAACATCGATGTGCTGTTGTCGATGTTGCAATCCTATTTAGAGAGCAAACACGAAGCAAACTATAAAATGCAATTTATCAATTATTTGGCAGCTATCACTATCATGTCGCACTTTGCACGTGATTTCGCATTTTGCGATCAATTTCGCAATTAATCGCAGATTGAAAACTTCAGAGATATACTGCACCGACCGTCTAACATACACTTACTATTTTTTCAGCGTTTGGCTACATTTCGCATTTTTATCAATTGCTAAAATCTACCATATCTAGCAATGGCCAATGTGCAGGTATCTCTAGCAACTTTTACGTAATCGGTACATGGATTCAGCCATGTCGAACGCATCGCAAGCGGACAGTTGTTCTGTATTTCTGTCGCGGGATGCCTGGCAAGTGAAGTCGACAATAGAGAACCAGCACAACCCGACTCTCCCACTCCACCCCCGCAGAATCCTTCTCGCAACCAACACGCCCCTGGCGGCGCGGGCAAGATTTATTTTTATCTTCGACTCTACAAGGCAGCGGTGTGGCGTTTCTTCGGGCGTAAATCACGGCGTCGTCTTCCTATTGGAACACGCCCCGCCCGTACGAGGCAATGCTCTTTTTTGCTGCGCGTCTCTCTCGCTTTCATTGCCACTCACGTCTCGACTTCGCTCGTTTGGAACGAGTCTCTTTCTGCTGTGCTGTTCCCTCGGTTTTTGCACGAGGATAGTCGACCATTGTATTAATGCAATGTCCTTCTACCTCGCATGGGGACTACCCTCGACAACTATTTCATTTGATGTGAATAAGTCCAGTGGGTACAGTCAGTGGCAGAATGTGCCAAACCCGGAAATATATTATTCTACTCTCTCTTCTTGCTTCAAAATGGTAATTATAAAAATGTGTGGTTTCTCAGTGTAAACAAAAGTTATATTTACACATACTTGCACAGCATTTTGAGATTTTGTATTGAATGTACTCCAATATAAACTGATTAGTTTTCACTTGCTCATATTGGTCAGAAATAAATCTAAAACTAATCGTGTTGTAACTAGGCAATAACCACATAAAAAAATTAAATAATCCTACTACTTTCTACACAATAGTACGAGTAAAAACGACGACACATATTAAGATAATTTAACAAATCCTTTCCTTTTAATTTTTTTCTTTGATTAGCATGCTAAATGTACACTCATTCTACGAGTATGAATTTTACCCATAACATTAATATATTTCTGCCATTCTCATTTGCCAGCATTCCATTATTCGAGGATAGAGTCTGAGAGTCCCATCTTCTTCATCTTCTTTCTGTCTGACGATTGGAAGTATTATTGGAAGTATGGGAATAATATCGACTTATCTGTTTTCTTTATTGAACATACTAATATCAGGTCGGTAAAAGACTACTATTCTGTCTGAGAGAATCCTTCTGTGTCACTACAGCCGAATTATTCTCCAAAACAGTCTCAGGGTTATAAGCATAGTGAGGAACTCGTGCTTCATATGTTAACTGATACTTCAGGGACAATTCTTGGTGGGTAGGTTTCGCTACTGCATCATGCCTGTTCCTGTGCACTGCTGCAGCACGTTTATCGACATGTGCTTGGCTGATTAGATTTGGATATCTTTCATGAATAGGTTTTGCCATTTACGCATTAAGGTTTTGTTGGATACTGAGTGTCGTAAGGATTACCTCTTCTGACTGTCTAGTTTTAATGATGTACATTCGTCCAGTGTACAAAAATGCAGCATGTAGTTTGGAAATGGTATCTTTAGCATGGAAGAATTTTACTACCGTTCTTGGACGAAGATTGTGATACAGCGATCGATTAAAATAGAAATCAGAAAACTGTCAACGACAATTACCAAACTGCTGATAATTTCTAATTATTACTTTGGTTACCTGTCGGAGGATATTTGAGTGTGAGGATTATTGAGCTGCAGCGTAGGAAACCACAGCCATCTACGAGCCCACATATTTTCGTACAAAAAAATTTTAAATGTATGTATGAAAGTACTGAACGGAAATTCCCTCTTTTTACTGGCATTTTTTAAAATCTGATTTTCCCTTTGCTTTTTCAAGCTATGCAAATACATTATTCTTTGTACCATTCTGAATATTTGCAGTTTGGAGGCTTTCAACCTGCTTGCAATATAATGGTGTTAATGCTTGTGAAGTCTTGATTATTACTATTACTATTACTATTATTATTATCATCATTATTATCATTATCATTATTATCATTATCATTATTATATTATCATTATCATTATCATTATCATTATCATTATATTATCATTATCATTATCATTATCATTATCATTATCATTATCATTATCATTATCATTATTATTATTATTGGCTGGATCCATGGCTGGCATTGTCCTGCTCTCTTCTCCCTATCATTTTCTTCTCTTTTCCCCTCTCTATCCTGTTCCTCTCTCTCTTTCACCGCCCTCTCTCTTCCTCTTTCTCTCTCCTCTCTCCATCCCACGCTGTTCGCCTCCTCGGCCTCTCCTCGCGTCGCGCGGCAACGCCCAGCAACAATGAAGATGGGTTCCCAGGTTGATTGGGAATTGCATTTAACTGAAACGCCATCTAGTGCAGTTACAACAAAATTAACAGCATAAAAACGTTCTCCATGAAAAAACACGTCAGAGTGCGGATATAAGGTAGGTATATATATATAAGATAGATAGATAGATAGATGATAATAGATGTAAGATAGAGAGAGAGGAGGAGAGGGAGAGGGAGGGAGAGGGAGAGAGGGGAGGGAGAGAGGGAGACGAGGGAGAGAGGGGGAGAAGGGGAGATGAGAGATGATAGTACGAAGTTGTAGAGTAGTGTATGGGTTCCTTTCTGGGAGAAATGAGTGATGTGGATCCCATTCGCCGCTTATTGATCTTCGCAATTTCCATCAGTCCGGACCTATGCGGCGCCGTGTCGCGCTGGCGAGCGAGGCGCGGGCCGGGCGGCCTTCGATCGCGGGCGGGGACGGACGCGACGAGCAGCTGGCCGTGCGCGTGGAGGGGCGGGCGGGCGCGGGGCCGTGCGCCAGCGGTGCTGCCTGCAGCATCTCGCCCGGGGGCAACGCCAGCGCCAGGCGCGTGCCACTCTCCCGCCCCCACCAGCGCCACCCCCCCTGCCGCGCGGAGCGCGCACGCCGCATCCGCCCGTGCCCTGCGCCGGGGCGGGGTAGGGCGGGGCAGACCTGCCGTCTAGGAGAGGACACGTCAAGGTCCTTTCACATTCTCCTAGAACGAAAAAAAAATTAGGATGTAAGGCTGCAAAAAATTGATGGCGAGATTCTGACGATAATAAACGCCTGGTTACACGATCGTATTAATGTATTAATTGACAATTTTTGCTTACACTCTGTGTTTGCTATATTCCATTTTGATTTTGTTATTTTTGTATTTTCAAATAATATACTGTAGTTCACTACAAGCTGAACTGTCGTTCACTACATGCTAAATTAAATTAATATAAATTAATTTAATTGGTTATGGCTCTGTAAGAGAAATGCGGTCGTGGGTGGATACACAAATCTTGCTCCAAACTGTTAATATTCATAATGGTACAACGAATAATGTTCAAAACTTCATAAGAAAACGTTCATAACTTCAAATGCACTCCAAATTCGCATAGCGTAAAAAAAACAAAGGGAAAGCCAGATTTTAAAAAATGCCTATCCAAATAGGAAATTTCCGTTCAGTATTTTCGTATATTTTAAAAATTTTTTGAACGAAAATATGAAGGTTCGTAGATTGTTGTGGTTCCCTGTGCTGCAGATCAATAATCCTCACGCTCAAATATCCTCCAACAGGTAACCAAAGTAATAATTAGAAATTATCAACAGTTTAGTAAGTGTTTTCTGATTTCTATTTTAATTGATCGCTGTATCACTATTTTCAACCAAGAAAGATGGTAAAATTAATGTTAAATTTCAAAGAGTGTTCTGAAATGCTAAAAGGAAGCCTAAAAATATGGAGGGGAAACGAATAGCAATACAATTATATACCAAGAATTGTTTCGCTCGGAGAGAGACATTCAAGTAATGAATAAATAGTTGGAGATCCTCGTGCGATCTCGAACGTTCTCAAAACGCTACAATACTTTGTTGGAACCCATGCAGACTTTGTTCCAAATTACAACTCACTTTTCCTGTGATCCTTATTGAAACCTCAATAGAAATTAGTCCTCAATAGAAGTTTTTTTAAAAATGGCGAATTGAAGCAGCAGTCATTACAATTGATGTGAGCGACTTAAATTTCGAAGCAGTTTGCCCCTGGGGGAGTTCAATCCACTTTTCAAGAGCTTTGGCCAGAACTTGAATCGTTTAAGAGGTCTATCGCAGAGACAAGACACAGGGAAACCAACTTAGTGCTGCGCCCTAAAGAAGACCGTCCAGTTGAACGAAGCGCCACACAAAGGCATGTTATTGCGATCTAAAGGATGGAAATATGCTGCTTAATGAACTGTTGTTTTTTTCTTCCAAAATGTCGTACTGAAATTGGATTAATATTTTTTCTTTAGTAAATGAAATATTCTCGTTAATTCCGAAAAAAAATGCACATCGCAGATTACGTAGAACATATATCTGAAACATATATGAATACTTAATTACACTAACTCACAAGAAGTGTTTAGGAATGATTACGTCACTTTATAAGCCAATATTACTAATTTTGGTTTGAGAAATTTTTTTGTTAGCTCTTGTTTCTATGATATCTATCAGATGGAACTATTTTATTTCAACAGTTTAAGAGAGAACTATACATTTTAATAATATACGACAAAACGTACACTTGAATATTTTTAAATGAAAGTTACATATAAGGAGTTCTAAATCGTTGAAATAGTTACCAATTGATGGGTTTGAAGAGAATTATGTGGTGGCTTCATGAGATCGACGTCTTTTCGTTCCCCTCTCGAGAGTTCCGGAGCATCTTTACTTACAGACCAGAGTAATGCTCAATCATTGCTTAGTTCCAACTACCCTGATATCTTTGTTCCCTTACAGAAATGTCCTGACGGAATCTTTTGCAGTTTTCAATACTGACTGCTCCACAATTAGGAGGAAAAAATCATCGGTGGAAGTAGAGAAAATGGATTTTAAAGGACTTGTTTCATACGAGTTCATGGTGATTTTGCAGACGAACCGCCACCAACTGAGTCTTATAGTTATAATCTTTTCCGTTACCTAAATTTCCATGAATAACTCCCTTGAATACTTTCCAAGCTTTATCTTCTTTCTCTTGCAAAACTCTGTCAAACGTAGGATCCTTTACATGTTGTCGAATTTGTGGTCCAACAAAATTACCTTCCTTAATCCATTATATAGACATGTTTCCTGTAACTACCTAAATGCCAGACCATATTGGTTCACAGCTTTGGCTACATTTTTAATCAGCTTTATATCTGATGCCAAGCTTTATATGTAGGGGTAGAAGAAGAAAATATTTTGGATCTTCGAGAGTCAGCATTTTTCTTGCTAGAATTAAGATTCCTTACAGGTCAGTCTGCTTGAATATAAGTGATTTCCTGTCTCTACTGTCCTACATACATTAAAAACAGCAGTATTTAGTATACCCCAGTTGCAATCCTTAGCAATGACTTTTAGATTGCCAAAGATTTTTCCTCTCGTGTTCAGAATAAAACAAGAGTAGACACATAGAGAGCCCATGACTTGTCCCCCTCCTTCATACCATAATAATGCTTATAGGCACTCTTCACAAGAGATAAGAGATTACGATTCTCTGAAGATAATGTTATTTCACTACAAATGTTACAAGCAATATTCACTGAATTTACACATTTACATGGAATTTTAATTAAACAAATTTTACACTTCAAAAGCACTCCAAAATCGGAAGTTATGCACTAATTTTCACAGAAAGAATATGAAATTTTCAGTTATTGCAACAGTAATTACGTTTATAACCAACCAGAAAACGTTATGTTTCGCCAGTTGAAAGTCGGTGATAACACTCAAATTGAAAATGTAAACCTTAAAAACTGGCATTTCTCTGTATCTCCAAACCAAGAGCTATTTGGTCATTTTTATGATGATTTTTGAATCCAAGAGATATTATATATATATATATATATATATATATATATATCTATATATATATATATATATATATATATATTATATATATATATATATATATATATCTATATATATCTATATATATAGATAGATAGATAGATAGATAGATAAGAATAAGGTGTTTTTCAGCCCGAAACATATTACGTGTTTGGCAGTGTAATTACTACTATTTCGATATATTAATATTTAAAAACTATTACTTACATTATATTAAATTAAAAAATTAAATTAACAGAATGTTAGAGATAAAAGCATGTTAATATCAAATATTTAACGAATAAATCAAATGTATTTTGTATAAGCAAAAGTATAAACGTCAGTTGTATTTACCCGCTCTGGCACGTATGCAAGTAAAATCTCTTCTGAATCAGACGTGACTCGCTCTTCCACTTTCCGAGATTACCAAATATTATTTCTCATTTATGTTTTCACTTTTGATAGGAAGTAATGTTGGCACTGAGTATTATTTACAAAGATTCGTCTAATATATGATCTAGAATATGATCAATATCTTTCATTTTAACACCGTTTT